CCCTCTTCCCTCTCGTGCTCTCTGTCTCTCATTCTCTCTCTCAAATAAATAAATAAAATCTTTAAAAAACAAAAAAGAATTTTTGCTAATATAGTTTGAGAAGTTTAGACTTTTTTTAATATTTTATTTTTTTTATTTTTCCATTTTTTAATGTAAATTCAATTAATTAACATATAAGGTATCATTGGTTTCAGAGGTAAGTTTAGACTTTTTTAACCCAGTTACTGAACCAGAAGTTTTGGGTTTTAATTTTTTTTTAAGTAGGCTCCAGGCTGGGCTTGAACTCATGACCCTGAGATTAAGAATTTAAGAAGCACTACTCACTTTAAAGCCAAGGAAATACGGCTTTATGGAAAAGCCAAGCATGCAAATTGTCACTCAACTACGCATTAAGGGCATATAACATATGACAAGTAAAAAAGGGGAAAAAAATGAAATTTAATTGTAGAGAAGGACTAGCTGGTTTTGTAAAAAGCCACTTTTCTTAATATTGCAGAGATATACAGAGGTCAAATATTCAAAATAGGTTGGAATGAACTATGCTAGATGGAGAGGAATTTACCATCTGCCCCTCGACCTCTACCTGCCTGTTTATTATGGATATAATGTCCTTCCCCAAACTGGTCCTTGCACTGATCCCTGCAAAACACAAAAGCCACTTCTGGCTACACAATCTCTGGCAGAACTACTTAATGTCTCTGAGCCTTGATTTCCTTATTTGGAAAATAGTTATAATATTACCTACCAATCTACAGGGTTATTATGAGAATTAACCTAAGAAAATATAGCTCACAGTGCCAAATGTTGTGCCTAACACAGAGTAGTTGAATAAATTAATTCTTTAATTTGGCATTCAAGGCCCTCCCCTAATTCTTCCCTGCCTTCTGCCTTCTTCCCAACTAATCTTGCCTCTGTTTTGCTCTCCTGAAATTCATCCTCCATGCGGCCACCAATGAGTCCTTTCTAAAACACAAATCCAGCATCCTTCCTCTGTTTTAAAAATACTACAATCACTCCCCATCACATATCACTTGAAGTCCAAGAGTTTTAGGATGATCACCAGGCCCTGTTTGATGTGGTTCCCAGCCCCCATCCTCTTGCCAGTCCCGTACTCTTACTTCACATCCTAACAACATGGAACTTGTGTAGTTCCCCAAACACACATTATTGTGCATACCTCCCTGCCTTTGCAGATGCTCTTCTGGATCCCTGAAATGCACTTCCCCTCGTCTATTCATTCTTCAGACCATGCCTCCCTGACCCCTTACCTTCACCAGCCTGCCTGGTCACTCCCCAACTCTGTTCTACTTTTGTTCCTTGCTTTTACTTATCATATCATATGCCATACTATTCATAAATGTATCTATTTCTCTTACCTAACATTGATGTCAGAGAGCACCTTCTGCCACTTCTGAACATGCTATATATCAGATACTTTAATATGTGAGCCTGGAACTAGAACATACATCTTTCTAAATCTCTGCCCCACTCAGCCTGTTATATTCACTATCTCCAGAATACATTCCAATTCTCACACGGTCTACCCCCTTTCTCCTTGTCAATCCAAATTCTCTCTACCTTTAAAATTCAGTCAAAATCCTTCTTCCTTCTTGATGTCTTCCTTGACAAAGCAGACCATAATGAAATTTCCCTCTTAGGCATCCTAAAGTCATTACTATCTTTACAACATAGCAGAGTGGTTATGAGCAGAAATCATGAAGACAAATTTTCTGACTTAAAATCCCAGCTTCGTCCCTTAATACCTGTATAATCTTGAGCAATCCCTCTGAGCCCTAATTTCTTTACCCATAAAGCGGTAATAACAACAGCCCCACTTCATAGGATTGTTGTGAGTATTAAATGGGTTATAGCAAGTAAAACACTTAGAATTATGCCTGGCACATAGTAAGTATTTATTACACTTACTGAGCAGGGAGCCCAATGTGGGACTCAATCCCGGGACTCCAGGATCATGACCTGAGCCAAAGGCAGTCACCCAACCAACTGAGCCACCCAGGAGCCCCTGTGGTGTTGAACTACTCTTTAGATCCTATGCTTTATGTAACTTTTCGTGTATTTGTAGCTAGTTTCCCTGGCTAGACTAGAAGTTGTTAAGGGAAAATTAATATCACAAAGGTTTTTAAGAAAACAGTGTGACATGCCTTGTCAAATGCTATGGAGAGGTCAAAAAGGTAGAACTGAGATGTGTCTACCCATGAAGCGAATGCAGACAGGAAAGTATAGAGACACAATTGGTTTTATGTTTTTCTGGTTGCTGGCAAACTGCTTTATACATGATAGTTTGTCAGTAAATATTTTTCAAATGATTAGGTCCAGCAAATATCAAATCTCAGACTGGCTCCTTAAGCAATGTTTTCTTAGCTACTATGAAATTAATGCTAGCCTAGGCAAAATAAACAGGCACATCTTTGGGAAGATTAGAAGTGAATCTAAACCTAATCAGAATAAATTCATAGACCAAAATACAGATTTTTAAAGTTCTGCCATTTTCATTAACCCTTTGGGAAAGAAAATTGAGTTTGCTAATTTTTTTTTTAATTTAGTAAGTGAAAACATTAGATTAATTCAAAATTTAACTTCCAACTGAAGTCAGGTATGTCACAACAAACTCACACTTTTGAATTCACTTCACTTTATGCCAATGACAACAAATAAAAGCAAAATTTTTACCTTTCCTTCCTCAAGGTGAAGCAGGAGGACTTTATCTCCTGGTTTATAATCTTTGAGCAGCTCTGCTGACTTCCAAACTTCCTCAGGGTCAGGTATCCAAACTCTAGCAAACTAGAAGACAAACAGGAAAAAAAAAATTAAACTAGCAAACCAATTACTTTACAATAATATATAAACACATCATCATTTATTCATAATGAAATAATTTACAAAAGAATAAATCTTGGCCAATATGAAATTTAATTTTTAAATTAATAGTTGAAAAGTACTTTAGTCCCAGTAGTACCATCATGCCCACATTATATGAAAAGTATGCTCTGTATTGTGGTAATAATTTCATAATACATAATACCTTAAATACATAATACCTTAAACTTATACAGTGCTATATGTCTATTATATCTCAATAAAATTGGAGGAAAAAGTATGCTCTGATTAAACAGCTACAATTAAAGTTTGAATTTTTTTTTTTATTTTCTTTTTTTTTTTTAAGATTTTTTTTTTATTTATTTATTTGCGAGAGAGACAATGAGAGACAGAGAGTATGAGAGGGAGGAGGGTCAGAGGGAGAAGCAGACTCCCTGCTGAGCA